ATATAATAAACTTTATTATAATATATATATAATAATTATATAATTTATTTTGAATTGAAATTGAAGATAAATAAACTAACTTGTAAAACTTGTGGTGGTACATCGACGCCAATGGTAGACAAAGGCGTAGGAGGTACAGGCCTGGGATGTGCAGCTGCTGGTCTTTGTTGTTGCAAGCTTTGTCGAAACTCAGCTTCTCGTCTTTCTTGTTCTTGCAGCTGTTCTCGCATCAACTGCAATTTCAATTGCGTACGCGAGGTCGGTGTAGCGGTTTTAAATGTTGGTGGACTGAAATAAAATAATACAATAGAGAAACAAACAAAATTAATACGTCTGTATAAAAATATTAATCGTAATATTAACAAAATTGTTAACGAGACTAAATCAAATATAATATATATATAAAGATATATATGAACCATAAACAATAATAATAATAATATATAAATACAATTAAATTGTAATTTTATTGATTATTGGCAAATAAAAACGAATGACGAATAAATAATATTAATCGATAAGAATTTGTTGAAACGTTGTTTTTGTGTAACGAACAATAAAACAAATTAAAAATGTACTTGTTTAAAAAAAAAAGGAAGGAAAAAGCCAATTAGAAATCAATTAGAACGTCGACAAATCGAATAAACTCGTTCTCGATCGATTAAGTCTTGGTCGGTAAGGAAGAGAGAGAAAGAGAGAGAGAGAGCCATCAATTGAAATGAACTTCCAAAGCTAAAAGACATTCCCAATTTGGGAACTTAGCCAAGTTGTGGCCATAAGAAAACCAAAATAGAGGGATTGCGCAATTTGGACAGAGTTTTACTTCCCGTTTCTCGAGATGCTTCTATTTCTCTCCCCCCCCCTCTCTCCTTCTCTTCTTCCCATCCTCCCTATATCTCCCTTTTACTCATACTCAGAGGTTACAGAAATTCGCAATTTGACCGAAACCTTAAAATGTTCCTAAAAGTACACTTTAGTTTTCACATATATTTGTCATATAAAAATCAATTTGGATTTTTGTCCTAAAAAAAAAAGTGATCTTATCGAGAAATAAAATCTAAATACGATTGAATTCAATTAATGTATTATATATATATATATAAATAAAAAATTATTTATAATATTTAAATGGATAGAATAAAAAATTTTTTGTATATTTGTATAATAAATATATAAATACATTACAGAGATATGAATCTCCTTCTGTTCGGAAATGCACAATACAAATAAAGTACAAAACATTTACTTTATTTTATATGTTCATATTTTAGATTCCCCAAAATAATAAAAGAACAATATAAAAATTTCAACGACAATTGAAACCCACAATTAATGACCAAAAAGAATATATATATATTTTTATTTAACAAATAAATAAATAAATAAATAAATAATTGTTGTATAACAGATATATATTTATATATTGAAAATCATATTTAAGGTAACTCCAAAAAAACGATATATAAATACAATTATTTAGATCTAATATTAAAATTTATTTCTTTTGAACAAATTTATCCAAACTTTTCTGACAATCCAATATATAAAACAAACTGGTGTGTGTACTTATGTACGCACGTAAAAAGTTATACTTCTTTAGCGTACCTAAACGAACATAACCTAACCTCAAAAAAAAATTTCAATTATCTCGCGTACCAATATATAATACTCTACATTTGTCGAAAAAACAATAATATGATAAAATAAAATGAAGATATTAAATACCATTGAATAAAGATTTTAATTAAAATATCTACAATCTCTAATTTATTTATTTGCAAATAACTTCATGCCGTAAATTAATTTGAAATCACTTTTCCCGCGCATCGTAAATATCATCGACAACTTCGTGGTGTCGATTTTTTCGGTCGGATCTGACCTTCACTTTTCAAAATGTGCCAAAAGAAGGTATAACTTCAAAAAAACAAACAAACCTATAGAAAAATGTAAAACAAAGTTTAGAATAGGTGAACTTTATAATGTTGTAAGTGAGTATCCACTTAAAAAATGAAAGAAAAACGAAAATCGTGTCTCGAATACACCGTCTGTCTACCGTTCGATATAGATTATGCTAAATATGATAAATAGTATATGCTAACCGAGATAAGAGATAAATACGAGAAGAACCGTTCTCGTTTATTCAACAAACGAATCGTTTCTCCTTTATCGTTCGTTACCCACTTACCTGCACTCTCGGATTTGCTTCGACTAAACGTACGCGTATTACAAAACCTATTCAACATTTTTATTCTCTCTATCTACAAACGCTACCACCCTCCTACCTCTTCCCCCCTTCCACCCAATACTCAGACTATCATCCACCCTCTTCTTTTTATCTTTCTTTCTCTCTCTCTCTTTTACACACTCTCTTCGTATTTTCTGTTTGATTTTTTCTTTCTTTTTTCCTTTTGATATCTACACACACATATACATACACATAGAATTGCATCATTAACCCTTTGTACTCGAAGTTTTTCTACTACCATTTTTTCTTTCAATCATAATACCAATAACTCAATACAATTTCAATAGGAAAATCATATTGACATATTATAAATAAATGATATATTATATTATGCACATTTAAAGAAAAATCATAGAGTTAAGATATTGTAGACTCAATTGAATTTGTTTCAATTTTTGTTTTGTTTTGTTTTTTATTATCCCCATAGCTGAGCCCTCGAGTGCAAAGGGTTTAATTATTAAATATTACGAGAAGTAAATAATGTTAATTTGATTAATGACAAAGGTATTTCCTAATTAAAAAAAAAAAGAAACAAATGAAATAATTAATAAAGAAATGAATAAATTATTGCATCGTTCAATCGTATATGCATTTGTTGTATATGCAATTATAAGAAAAAATAATTAAAATATTATTCTATAAAAAGATGTGTGTGTGTGTGTGCATCTATTTAATGTGTTATATGTAAGAGTACAATAATTTATGTTTATAGAAGATCGTTATTATATTAAAGTATATATATATATAGAAGATATGTCAGTGGATTAAATTCGCGTTCAGTTGAGGTTGCATCGTTGCTGAACGCATAATGCAATTGTTATGCTGTCTAATCGCAAACTAGGAACAATGAGAAGACATTAGCATACATTCGTCGACTAATGATTGACTTAGTTGACGTATTCATAAATTTTCTATCCAACCATTTTTTATTATATTTTTTTTAATTAATATTTATATAAATCATACACCTATTCATTTGAATAAATCATTTTTATTTCTTCAAAACCAAGGGAAAAAAATATGATGTGACAAAAGAAAAATGAAAGAAGAAGGAAAGAAACCAAAGCGTAAAATATAAGTAATAATAAAATTCTATTTTTTATTAATCCCTTCTGTTGGTGGTGGTAGTGGTGGTGGTAATTTCATTTTAACGTTGATTTTGTGGTCGACTTTTACGATTACGACTTTAACGAAGGTTATATAGTTTTTCTTTTGGGATCGTTAAAACGTTATTTGCCATTAAGGTAAAGAATAAAAAAGAAAAAACCAAGAAAAAAAAAACACACACACACACAAAATAGGGAAAAACTGAAAAATAAAAAGAAATTGCGTAAAATGGTGTACAAAGTTTAAAGCATATATTTTCTATCTCTCTCTCTCTCTCTCTCTCTCTCTCTCTCTCTCTTTCTTTTTATTTCTGGCATAATTTGTCTCTATTTAAGTACCAACGCAACAAAGTAACACACACACACATATATATATAAAGAGAAAGAGAGAGAGAGAGAGAGCTTAAACTAAACTAGAATCGTAAACGTTTCCATAATCCGATTGCAACTGTTGAACTAGCGATTTGAATGTGAGCAAATGAAAATTCCTAGATAGGGGTATGGGAGTCAGGGGGTGGTGGTGGTGGTGGTGGTGGTGGTGGTGGTGGTGTGCTGCTGCAGCCAGTACCAAACCAACCAACCAGCATTGTTGATTTTAACGGATTAGCTAGGGTTCTAACGTAGCTTTAAAATATAACACGATGTACTCGAATATTCTACGAATTTGAGAGAATTAATCGTTTATGTTCGAACAATTAACTTGTCAAGAGGAATTTATATTTACTCGCACACGCACACACACATTTCAATATTAAATCTAATAGAAAAAAAATATATTTAACTATATCTCAGATAAGAAAGTTAAACGAAAATTAGGAAATAAATTTTAAACGTTAGTTATGAATATTCGTTATATTATTGTATTATATTTTAATATTATTTATCGTTTTAATAATAAATTGGGGAGAAATATTTTGTTTAATGTAAAAAATATTAATGGATGGATGGACTTGTCAAGAGGAATTTATATTTACTCGCGCACGCACACACACATTTCAATATTAAATCTAATATAAAAAAAAATATTTAACTATATCTCAGATAAGAAAGTTAAACGAAAATTAGGAAATAAATTTTAAACGTTAGTTATGAATATTCGTTATATTATTATATTATATTTTAATATTATTTATCGTTTTAATAATAAATTGGGGAGAAATATTTTGTTTAATGTAAAAA